ATTGATATCAAAATTATCTTTCTGTGTATATATTAAAGTAAAACCAAAAAGATTGATAAAAAAAGCAAAGAGGATCACACTTTAGGTATTAACTTGAAAATATGATTCTACAATGCAAAAAACTCCAGTTTAGGCTCATGAATCTCCAGCTCAAAAGAACATAGAAATTATAGAATTGTAAATTATTTCCGGATATGAATATTCTAAAAACTGAAGCTGGACTCCCTGTAAAATATATGCAGTTTATATATTTCGAAAATGAATCTTATGCATGATAAAGAAGTATATTGGCATATGTCATTGAATTTAATATCACCGAAAAGGTAATTGTACTCTATATTTTTATCAAACAATGCTGAATACAGCCTATAGAAGTACAATGATGGGCTGTACTCGGGAGAAACAACTCTACATGCTGGTAAATGCATATCTACTTTCTCCTTGCAGAAGAAGAGGGGAATAGAGCTTTTACCAATGAACAAATTATATAATCAGTATCACTTTGGTTACTTTTCTCTGCTCCTGCATCATTATTACTCGTCACTGACCTTTTGCTAACATCATAGTAAGGTAGTACAAGTTGATGCAATGTTCATTATACTACACGTTACACAGTCAGAAAAGTAATTGAAAAAAATACATAAATAAGAGATACATTTTCCTAACATGAAAATGATGCCAAAATAAAACCTATTTTTGAAATAAATAACTTTCAGTAGTAGAAACAAAAATGATAAAAAGAAACTCACTAAGATGAGCAGAAATCTTATTAACACTAACAGATCCTATACTGCATTGAATATTCTTTACCACCAAATAATGTTTGCAAAAAAAAAAAAAAATGTAGCAGTTTTGGAATTATTAATCACTTAACACTAAAACCAACTCCCAACCCAGGGCCCCTTGTATGAGGGAATGACTAGGTAACTTTCCCATGTATAAAAAAAAATTATCAAACATCTAAACTAGTACTTTTTCAGAAAAAGGCAGCCAAATTAAAAAGTTTAAAAAATATACATAAATTTTATGCACTAATAGATAAGATAAACTTTTTAATTACTGTGAAAGAAGTCTTAATTTCCAAAAGAATCAAAAATATATAATATTTCTAACTTTTGTCAAATTTCTAGACATCCACAGTTTTTAAATTATTCATCATATTACTATAGTGCACTGTATAGTTGGTGTATTAAAATACAACAGGAATTTTAAGAACATACCAGAAAATCCTAGAAGTAATTAAAGATGTATTACAGAACATAAAAACAGAGTTTGCTAAATACTTCTACTATTAAATTGCCACGGTATGAATATAATTGTATTAACACATTTATTCATGAACAAAATTGGCATACTAAGTCTTACACATAAACACACAGAATTTTTATATAATGCTCTGCATTAATAACTTTAAAACTGAGGAATTTCCTTCAGCTGGTTTAGTGTTAACTTCTATTTTCTAGAAAGTTCCATCATTAGATTTCTAAACAATTTGCATAATTTGATTGATGCAAGGTATATTAATTAATCAATTGCTTCATTCCAGGACAAACATAAACAGAAGAAATTAATTCATAGTACAATCAGGTTGTATACAGTTGATGAAAAATAATACTTAGATAAACTTGGGATCATATTAAAGATGTCCAGTTGGCATGTGACAAAACAGCTCAATGTTTGCAATTGAAAATTTTTTTTAGTCAAGTAAAGGGGGAAACGGAAGCTCCCCATTTAGCCATTTTATTTTGCATTGGTTGCTGTTATCTTGCATAATATATACAATCTGCCATATATTAACTTGCATATTTCATAAGCTTTTGTTATCTTTCAAGTTGCTCATGGAATATTCTGCTGTTCCAAGATTCAACAAAAGTATATTTAAAAGGCATTATAAAGCCTCAGCTGTCCAGTTTATAAAGTCTCAAGGTAAATTATTAATCCACGATGCATTGGAAGTTGCATGCCATCTTTGATCATCGTTATTTATTCTATGGACAAAACGAATACACAAACGTACAGAAAAATAACTAACTCTTTAAATATTGCTTCAAACAATAAGCATAACATTTTAAAATTCTTTAAAATATATAACACACTAAATAATCAACATAAGCTCATAAGATACAACACCAACAACAAGCACGTTTCAAATAAACACTTGCATTTGAAAAAAACACAGTTACAGTTAAAAAATAATAGGGTGTTGCCACTTTAAGATTTCTAACAATAAAATAAATATTTTTCAACTGCTAAAAAATTTAATTAAATTAACAATTCAATCTAATCGTAATTAAATTTGAACTTAATTTCTTTAATCGCACATTTTTTATTCATATCCTCAAAATCTATTCTGCTTAGATTCTTATATTCTGAAAAGAGTGGATCCTGCTGTCGTTCAAATGTAATATGACAAATCAAAAAACAGCATATTTTAACAACATACATTATACTTGAAAATCACTAAAAATACTATTAGCTTTTCCAAAGGGCTAAAGGTAAATTTTTCAACTTATTTATAAACTTCTTATTCTTAAAATATTTTTTTTTTTTTTTAAATTCGCATCAAAAAAACTATATGAGGAAAAATTTCGAATTTTATTTTTCGCAAAAATGGGTAGCTATTTACTTTTTCCATGATCCCTTATTTTCTTCAGCAATCAAGATCAGCCATTTGTAATAAATTTACTATCTATTCATAAATTGATTTTAAAATAAAAAAAATTCAACATTTTACGAAATATTGACAAGTGTTTCTTCAAAATCGAAGAAAATTTCAGAAAAATATTGGAATCATTTAATCCATAGACGAAACGAATGAATGATATCGATGAAAATCACAAGTGTGCTAGTGCGATATTGAATCTACACATATTATAGTTCAAACACTGAAATCGAAGAAAATTACTAGAATCTAAATCATGACAGCAACGATTGTGAATGATAGGAATTTTGAGCTTTTGGCACATTGATCTCCTACAGACTGCTTAAAATATATAACCCAAATAATAAAAGTTATCAAAAAGCAAGTTGCTAAGTGTGTGTGGGGAAGAAGGGGTCTTTCACCGTATCTCGCTTTTTTTTTTTCTCGAGTTTATTTCATTGCTTTCCACTAGGGCTTTCATGATAATTTTTATATTTAAAAAAATTACAATTAACCATTCATTCAATACAGTTTAAAGTCTATGCATGATATTTAAGTATTTTTATCATAATTTATAGAATTAACTATCATTTGATTTACACTCTTAAGCTTTATGATCTAGTATCTGTGTTCTTAATCAGAGTTTGAAAGGCATTATAGTGTTTATTTATTTACTTTTTTTACTAGACAGAATAGGTGCATAGGCTATGTATTTATACTGCGCATTATATATAATGTCTGATAATTTTTGTAATGTTATTATTTAATTTTATTGGGCATGAATAATAGATAAAATAACAAAGGTCCTTGTTATAATATAATAACGTACATAGTTTATAGCAAGTCTGTTGATGTAGGGAATCAAAGGGTGTGCATGCTCTTATGATTACTATGGGAATTACTATTTGTATTTTAATACTTATATGATGATGCAATATAATTTTATCCTGTATAACATAGATATGGTTCTGATATATATGATTCTGATATGCAATCACTTATTATAAAATTGATAAATTCTGTCTCAATTACAACGTCTCCATATTTTCAGGTAGTTTAGTAATACAATATTACATTTCCGCAAGGGGCTGTAGAATAACTTTAAAAACACTTTCTTTAAAAAATATGAGCGCGAAATAAAGAATTATTCGCGAATGTAACCCCTAATATACTCATGTTTTTATAATTATCGTTTGCATTTTGTTTATTTTGATTCTAAGGTGTATTTTTTTTTTTTATTATTATTGAAAGATATGGGTCAAGTATAAAGTTAAGGTTTATTAATAAATTCTGAAAATGGAGATGTTATTTCTTTTGTGATTGTTTATTTTTTTCATATTTAATTTTAAGCAGGAATTGAAATAAATTCATTTTCATAGACTCGCCGAAAACATTACATATTTTAAATGTCAACAGGTGAAAAAATTGCAAACGATATCGGAAATTAAAGGTCAGCTCTGAAATCACTTAATGAACTTTTTCATTTATTTTTACAAAAAATTTACATTGCCTAAATATTTTTTGCATGCAAATTTTCATCAGCCTTTTAAGTTATTAATTTATTTAGTTATAACATTAGATTGTCAAGATTTATTAATAGAATGAATATAAAATCTCCTGTAACACAAAACGAAGACTATTTTCAACAGGATAAGACAGAAATACATGTATTACATACTAATTATTCATAATTCTGTGTTGAAACATTTTGAAAAATAAAATATATTTGTATGTAATTTAATTTACCTAGCAAATATTTTTCACCATAGAAATAAGAATTTTTTTTTTATTTAAGATTGTGAAGTCATTGTTATGATTGCAAATGAGCGAAAGACGAAATACAAATATTTCTACTCTAAGAACACTTCTAATATAAATACGTAATGTATTTTAATCCTTTACTAATTATAATGATGAATATCATCTCATATTTGTTAAAAAAGGAAATGATTTGATAATATAAGAGATATATCCATGGTGTAATGTCAGTTACCAATTATTATTTTTATATAAGTTTTCATACATTTTGTTTCTCTTACTTAATTTCGTAGATAAAGGGAAATGGTAGACATTTTGTTGCACATGCAATGACACTCTAAAAAGACATCCATTCAATTCTTTTGACTGCAGTGAAACAATGATTTAATGACAGAGTATTATTTTAAGATATAAATGAACAGTTTTCTTTGAAAGTGTTGTAAGTCCATTTTTGACAAAAAATATTAATTAGTGATAACAATGAATGCAATTTGCTATGAGCTTTTTATTTATAAACAGTTCCCAAAAAAATTCCTTCAAAATGTTCATCATATTCACAATATAAATTTAGTTAGTTAATGAAATTACAAATATAAGTGGTAGATCTCGTTAGATCACCGAAGTTAAGCATCATTGGGCGCGGTCAGTACTTGGGTGGGTGACCACCTGGGAACACTGCGTGCCGTTGGCAAATTTGAGACCTGAATGGCCGAGTGTCTAGCGCTCTGGCGCTCGGTGTCACAGGTTTCGGGTTCGAATCCCGGCGGTGCCATGGATGTTTGTAGTGGTTCGGAATCCACTTTAAGCCGTAGGTCCCGGTCTCCTATGACTGTAAGAGCGTCACGGAGCAAAAGTCAGGCTTCTACCTACGGGGTGCTCCATCACAACAGAAGCTGCTTCCTTCCCCTTCAATCATGAGTCCATATGGGCTCGTGGGCTTGGCCAGCCAAGTGGGATAAGAAACAACAACAAAACAACACAAATATAATTACTTTTAAAGTGGTGCAAGTCCACTTTCCGCAAAGACATAATATTTAGCTCAAAAATTATGCTACATAATTTCTCTACTTAACTGCTATATGTGTGGTAATACTGTTAATGACATAAAAAATTTTTTTCTTTCACTGTAATTTTGCTGCTTGCTTCTGAATCATTTCCAGAGCAGAACTCCATAGCTAGAGTTGAAAACGCTATTAAAAGTGTGTTCTATTATACAATGCTGTATAAAACTTCACTGGATGAAAATGCGGAGTTTAAAACACTAGGTTTATTCCCTAGACAAGGAACACCGCGAAAATTAAAAATATAATACTAACACCTTCATATCATCACTTTTAGGTCATCAGATCCGAAAAATGCAACGATAGGAGGGATCTGTTATTTTATATTCCTCCAATACATCATGACTATTTTCTAAAACTTTCTCATCATGATAAAAATTAAAAAGGGCATACATATTAATATAAATTTGTAATTAAAGTAATTAAAATGGCATTACATGAAGAAATATGGAAATAAAGCTGGTTTATTTCGACAATTAATAAATATTTCATTAAAAAAATTGGTTTGAATTCTTTGAAATCCCTTATTTAATATTTCAAAAATGTATGATGTTCACATTTTGTTGACTTTGAAAGTGGTGTAAATCCATTTGAGGTCATCAAAAGTATTAATTTCTTTTAACTAATACTTCAAAAACCATCACATTAGAAACTTAAATTAATTTAATATTAATATTTAGAAAATATAAAATGAGCGTATTAACGCGTACCGATATTTTTCAAGCCTTTCAAATATAAACACTTAAATATCTTCATAAAATATAGAGTGGACTTCTACTACTTTCAAAGAAAACGGCTAAAATTATAATTATATTAGTGGGCTTATATAATTCCTGAATTCATCTTGAAATATTTTGTAAAATAAAAGATTGCTCTTTGAAAAAATTCTGAAAATGAAGATTATCTAAAAAAAACATTAAAAGTCAAAGAGGTTAAGTTACAAATATGAGAGGATGAAATAGAAAAACAATACTGTTGTAAGGTTTCCAATATTCGTAGAAGTTTCCAACAAAGACTCAATTAAAATGCAAAATTTTCAGTAAGTTTTATTAGGAAAATATTTGCCAACACTTGGAAATGTACTTGGACTTTAAAATTCTATCTGGGTAAAATACAGGATTATATTTAGGTTTTTTAAGTGATTATCAAAACATAAATTCCTCGATATCAAGCAAAAATATTATTTTGATTAAAGTATAATGCAAATATTCGCGATTCCGAATACAAATACAAAAATCGGTGATGTATATCAAGATGTATGAACGAAAAAAAAAAATCGTCTCGTTTTCCAGTGATGTATGCCTGATGGATGAAGGAGAGGTGTATTTTCTTCCTTCCGGAAAGAATTTTGGGTGTAACTACCCTCATTTCTGTGCCACACAAAAAAAATTGGTAGAACTCCCACCAGACAGCATGACTACAGATTCGAAACGCTTTATACACATCATCGCAATCGCCATCTAGTCTCCTAGTTTCAGAAAGCAGTGACTGTAACTTGCGCCACCAGTAGATTCGACCTGGGGCCCTTTATACTTTAACTTCGCACATTACCACGGGTGGGGAGGATTAATCACAAGGTGTGCTAATTGATATATTAATAAATCGTTTCCTTTTTAAATCTCAAAAAAAAATTAAGGTTATAATTAAATATAATAATAATATCAAGCTGTGCTAAATAAAATATCAAACTAAATACTTTTATAAGTGTACTAAATAAATACAAAGTTTGAATTTAAATTTATAATTTATTTATGTAATTTTTTTTTTTAGAAATTAACTTTTTTTTTTTTGTGCAATAGTTTTAACGTTCTCTTTTTTAAATATATTTGAAACAAATGAGTACAATATAAATATTATTAATATAGATATCTACAAAAGGGGTATCTGATGGCCGAGTTACCAGCGATCGGTGCCACAGGTTTCGGATTCGAGTCCCGGATGAGCTATGGATTTTTGTAGTGATTCGTAATCCACTTAAAATTGTAGTTCCCAGTCTAATATAATGTCTATAGATCGTTGGATTGACAACCCTACCCCGTAAAAAAACCCATCTAGTTTTGGAATCTTCAAGTAGGCAGATTGTCTTGGCCCACTATAGGACTGTCCACCACACGTCTACAGCGCCCATTCCGATCTGCAGCAACCATTGCCATTGTGAGTTATGCTATATGGAAAATAGTTTACACTCTAGTTGGAAAATAGGAAGCTATATGTAGTTAATTCTCCTGGGTATACTAGTCCCGAATTACACTTTAAAAAAAAAAAAAAAAAATTTGCAGCTTCGGGTGAGAATCGAACCCAGGTTACCCATGTGGCAAGCGACAAAATTGGCAAGTAGCCACGCCTGACAGAAACAAAAAAAGTGGCATCATTGGGGAAGAAGTATCATTTAGGGAGAATTTTATTTGCATTAAAAATATTTTTAATTTTTTATAACTAGAATTGTAAATTACACTACATTAAAAGAAACAATAGAGGAACATTTTTTTCATTAACTATTTTACTTTTTTCTTTCAATGGAGGTTTGTGTGGAGTCTATCTTATTAGAACTCCTAATAAGCAATCGATATGTCATTTCAGCTGTTAAATCTAATGTTTATAATTCCTCGCTATCCGTGATCGGATTATAGTTGTGTTATGAGTTATTCTAATTAAACATCATGGATTGATGAATTTTGGGGTTTTTTTAATAGTTCGAATATAAATTGTCAATTTTCTTCAATGGTCTCATATTTTAACATTTGGGTAAATGGAGATAAAGCAGTAATAAATCTCAAAGTTATTCTGATTAACTGTAACCATTTCAAAATCAAAACAAACAAATATATTTTTTTTAATAGAAAATCATGTTAGAACTATATGAAAGTATCTCTCAATTTTATTTCAGAAATTTTAAATTTTGAAGGCGAAGGAATTTTTTTGTTGAAATTTTTCAATGCAACATGGAAGAAAACAGAAATTATTTTACGATTCCTATTAATGAAGACTATGATTCAGAATTTGAATATGATGTTGGCGATAAACGAAAAGCACGACAAGATTTAGCTACGAAAGCACCAGTTTCTAAAGTTTACAAGCCAAATAAACAAGACTATCCCGAACAATGTGCTTACGAACAAAGTAAAGTTCAACGACAGGCTTATTTATCTTTAGATGCATATACCAGACATAAAAAACTTATAAACGATTATGTGCTGTGTTATGAAGGTGCAACTGCTAAATTGAAGCGAAATACAAGTAACTATAAAACTGATCAGGATATTATTCGAGAAAATCATCGCTTTCTGTGGGAAGAAAAAGATGAAGCCCATACCTGGGGCGAACAGCTAGCCAAAAAATATTATGATAGACTTTTCAAAGAATATTGTCTGTGTGATCTTACGCGATATAAAGAAAAAAAAGTTGGTATGCGATGGCGAAATGAAAAAGAAGTTGTTGTAGGAAAAGGACAGTTTTTCTGTGGCAATGTTCATTGTGAAAAACAAGATGGACTAGAAAGCTGGGAAGTTTTGTTTGGTTACCATGAACTCGGAGAAAAAAAGAATGCACTGGTCAAACTTCGACTATGTGATAAATGTTCTTATAAACTTCATTATGGTTATAAAGGTAAAGCTGCTCTTAAAAAGAAGAATAAAAAAGGTAAAAGGCAAGAAAAAGAAGTTGATTCTAATCATATAGACAACATTACAGAATCAAATAAAGATTCAAATACTGAATCATCTGATAATAAGACAAAAGTTCCCGATGAAGGCGATATTTGGAAACAACCAATAAAAGAAGATGTTGAACAATCTAAAGAAGATGCATTTGAAGAATTTTTAGAAGATTTGTTCCTATAACTATTATGCGTGAAAAAAAAATAATAATTGTTTACAGTTAGTTTCTTATAATACAATATATTACATAAATTAAAAAGAATATCTTTTTAATGATATGCGTTTAAAATTAAATGCAATTTGTAAATATAATTATTTATAAAATGAATGCAATTCAGTGTAATTATATTATTCAGTAATAGCCCAGAAGAGAAACTTTGAATGATTTCATACATATATATTATATTTTCATTTATAAATATTAATTATTATTATTATGTACTAATTAATTGTGGCAATCTCAAATGTTTACAAAATTAGAAGCAATTATTAAAATAAAGAATCACAAAAAAAAATTGTTCAATTATTTTCACCTTTTTTAAAAAAATTAGTATGCCTTTCTGTCGGATGCCATTTTATACCACTTACAAAAATGCTGTCAAATCAGGAATTATATTAAAATAACACAAATAACTCGGCTTCAAAACATAAATCTTATTAATTCTTTTATGTTAAAGAGATGAGTTGGATAGTTTTATATCAAGAGGTAAGTTTGTTTTTTCATTGCTAGCACAAATGTCGGTAAAATATATTTTAGTGTTACATAAATATTAAATTCAATACATATATGTTTTGAAAATATTTGGATTCAAAATGCAATACTTTTATTAACATTTTAATTAGCAAAAATTACATAATTATCATGAAAGCTATATTTATCATTAAGAGCCTGATAGTTCTTTGTTTTCCCATCATTTAGAAATTTCTTCTACTCATATATACATATATTTTCTTTCAGCAGCAGCAGTCG